ATTGTCAAAAGACATTTCCATAAAAATCATAAGATATCAAATTCATTGTCTTAGATTATAATCATAAAATCAGAGTATCAATAACATCTCTCAAACATAAATCAGCAGGATGATGTGTACAATCAACGCATTCTCCTTCCCGTGGTCCTCTGAAGTACCTGAAACATTTAAATTCACAACTGTAAGCCAAAGCTTAGTGAGTTCCCCGAAAATACCCCACACAATAATACATATACAATGCATGCACACATGAGCATACAGTTCGACTAGACTGCCTCGCAAGGCTTACAATACACCTGGACTGCCCAAGTATCTTGGCCTACAGCACAAAGCAGACCGCCTCAACCCAACCACAATATCTCGACATATCCAAAAAAAATAAACAATAACCAACAAAAACATGCAATCATAACAGATCTACCAATCTAACAGATCACTACAACATATCAACATCCTACACACAAGGATACATGTTACAGTACAAATTATAGTGAGAAAACTCACCTCGCAGGCTAACAGACAACAATACAGCTCTCATGGAACAAAGTCTGGTGCTACGAGTCACCTATAACAAATCAGAGGTACATCCTCAATCTATAGCCCAAAAGCCTCAAGTTGACCCAAAGTCAAACTTGGTCAAAAGTCAACGATCAATAGTCAAAGTCAACATCCTAAAAGTCAACTTTGGTGGCCACCACATCGTGGCCAAGTATCTGCTACGACGTGGCAACCTTAGGACAAAACAGTCGCAAGAACCCCATATGCCACGACATGGAGAGCATTTCGGCACGTCGTGGGAACTGTTCCTGGACAAATTAATGGATTAAGCCCTTAATCCATTAAGTCTTAAATGCCCCCAAAAAAGTAATTATACCTAGAACTTAACGTTACAACTTCCCCTAGATCCATGATTTGCTTCAAAATGAAATTTAAAGTACAAATACTTGGTTTTCTATTTTGCATACACGTGAAGTTGTTGATAAATGTCTTCACGAACCAGCTACTTTCTTTATTTGACCTAGAAACATGGAGCACCCAAGTACATTTAGGTTTTTTGAAATTTACATTGTTACCCTTATTCTTCCTATCTTTATTACACTAATTGCCTCATCAACATTTAATAACGACATAACTCCTTCGTAAACACCCCTTAGCCTCAATTCGTCATACTTTTTTGTAGACCAAATCCCTCATGGTTTCCACTGCATTAAGCTCAATCTTATCTTTCATTTCCTTATTTTCCTTAAACTTCTAACCAACAGAAAAGCTTTGCTTGTGACTTTGACATAACCTACATATCTTATCTTTTCCCAATTGCTTCAATATGACCCTCATTTTTCTCTTCCCATCTAAATCTTCCTCCAATGGGTCTCATTCATCATTATCTATAACTTCCATGTCTTCAACTTCATCATATTTAGTAGCTATCCTTCTCAACGACCACATGCACTCTTATAAATTCGTCATCCATGTCAATGTTAATCATAAAATCATTGATGTAAACATCAACATCATCAACATTGTTGTCCTAATCAAAAAAATAATCACTTTCTTCACTACTATCATTTTGTTCATTATATTCAAGGTTCGTAGTATTTGTAGAATTGAATTGATCACAAATAAAAGGTTCAAAGTCTTCAAAATCTTATACAAAGTCATTGTTAAAGAAGTTTGTGTCCTCTATGTTAACTGTGTGATTTGATTAAACACTTGGCTCAGCTACATCTTTTATATGTATTCCATGATTTCTTGTATATATGGTTCATCAATGTCCAAAAACTCTAAGCATCGCTCTTTAAAGCATGAACTCACACCCCTTAGTGGATCACACATTATCAAAACCATGTAAGACCCTACATAAGTTTCATGAACATGGTTTTCTTCAACACCAGTAGGTTAATCAATAAATTCCTCATTTGTTACACGTTTATTAGGTTTATGAGACATTAAATAAGTCACTAAATTTGTGGACCCATGCTCAGAGTAGACCTTAATCACCTTGTGGTCACCAATATATTATGTTAGATTTAGGACATCATTGCCATTACCCAAAACCCTTAGTCCTAAGTCCAACCCACTATTAGGACTTATAAAATGATAATAAATGACTAGGGGCACAATGTAACCTAGTTTAACCATAATCAGGTCCAACTCGTGAACAAAAAACTTGTTCATGTCCAATAATTCAATATATCTAACATTGTTATCCACATATCTAATTCCAGGGAATTTGTTGAACTTCCCACCATGGTGCAGCTCCATGGAAAATATTTTCGGATTGATAATCTCCTTAATGGATACTAAACAACTTACCATATATGGCTCTCATATCAAAACATTGGTTTAGTGGTCGGATTGTCCATATTTGATATGCCATCTTTAGACAAATATAGTTACAATGATCCAAAATCGAATTTAGATATATAGTTTTCTAGAAAGGATAAGAATGGATGAGAAAAAAGATGAAAGGGCAACCCAAATCTAGAGGGTATACAAAGAAAAAAGATGAAAGGGCAACCCAAAGATGAAAGGGCAACCCAAATGAGAGTATAGGTTGTATAATGTTTCCATAATGATGGTAATGTGAATGGAAAAGTGATAAGACAATTTTACCCTCGCATGATGGGTACATATGAGAGATAACAGATGATGTCTTCAGGGACCAAAACCATAATAAAACCTGTTGATAAGGACCAAATTTGCAATTTTTTAACCATAAAAACCAAAACTTTGAAAATTTGCAAACAAAAAGGACCAAATTTGCAATTTTCTCAAGTAGTAATATTCATTTTTGGTTTCATTTTAAACTTTATAAGTGTAATTGGTGTTATATTTTATTATTAAGTTAATATATAAAATGGGTGAGTGTCTAAAGTAGAAATAAGAGGAGGGTGTATTAAGATTAGGGGTGAGCATTTAGACCAGACCGGACCGACTCCTGGACCGGACTGGTTTCAGAGAATATTGTCGACTTTGGACCGGACCGGATAAGACTTACCGAGTCCAAGTCCAGGTTTGGGTTTTCCGGTTATTGGACCCGTTTGGACCGATACAACTTTACATGCATACTGTAGAGCTTGTTAAAACGTGTTTTTGGGTTTGATACAACTCGTTAAAACGAATATGTTGTTGGGTTTGATACATTACAACTCGTTAAAATGAATAATGTTTTGGGTTTGATATGGTGAACTCGTAAAAATGATTATGTTTTCGTTTCTTGTGTCCTTTGGACCGGTCAAACTTTGATTGTTTATACTTTATACCATTTGTTTGAAAGATTATAACTCATTGAATATAACACCAAAAACAACAAATGTATAGTCTAAACTCATCTACAAACTATAAATTACACGTTGGAAAAAACCGCATGTCAATTCGACTTTAAAAAAATAAGATATGCTTGTTTAAAGAATTTCAAAGAATACAAAATATTAAATTTCTTGTTGAAAAGCTGAAATATTTCAGCTTTGGTATCTCATCTTTGAATGATTGTAACTCACCGAATATAACACAAAAAATAACAAATGTATAGTCTAAAATCATCTACAAACTCTAAATTATACGTTGGAAAAAAACGCATGTCAATCCGACTTAAAACGAATGAGATATGTTTGTTTAAAGAATTTCACAGAATACAAAAGTTTAAATTTCTTGTTGAAAAGTTGAAATATCTCATTTTTGAAGGATTATAACTCATCGAATATAACACCAAAAACAACAAAATTATTGTTTAAAATCATCTACAAACTATAAATTACACGTTAGAAAAAAACCGCATGTCAATCCGACTTAAAACGAATGAGATATGTTTGTTTAAAGAATTTCATAGAATACAAAAGTTTAAATTTCTTGCTGAAAAGCTGAAATATTTCAACTTTGATATCATATCTTTAAAAGATTATAACTCATCGAATATAACACCAAAAACAACAAAATTATAGTATAAAATCATCTACAAACTCTAAGAGGGTGTTTGGCTTTGCTTTTTAAATGACTTTTAAGACTTTTGGCTTTTTCAAAAAGTCAAAAGTTTAAAAAGTTGTTTGGTAACTTGAAAAGATCTGTTAAAATAGCTTTTTGAGAAGAAGAAGAAAGAGGGGGTTAAGAAGTCACGAATCTATGACTTTTAGCAACTTTTGCCTTTTTTCCCTTTGTCCCCTCAAAAGTTTAAACAAACACATTTTAAAACTATCTTTTTGAAAAAAGACATAATCAAAAAGTACTTTTTGTTTAAGTACACGTTGGAAAAAACCACATTTCAATTTGACTTAAAACGAATGAGATATGTTTGTTTAAAGAATTTCACATAATACAATTATTTTAAATAATAATAATAAGTCGGTCCAAACCCGGTTTTTGCCCGAAACCGGCCGGACCGGGCCGGTAAAAAAATCAGACCAGTTTTGCTCAAATACTAAAACCGAGAACTAGCCCAGTGGTCCACAAAAACGGTCCAGTTTACCGGTCCGGTCTAGAGCTCCAATTGTTCACCCCTAATTAAGATGCTAAATATAAATTAATTAATTAAAAGTTGGCGGGCCATGTTCATATTTGGAGCGTACCATGTTTTTTTTATCTTTCTCAAGCCATGATTTTAATATGAAACAAAACTCGACTATGATAATTTTTTCTTGCACGACTTTATATATTTTTTGGACCTGTAAAGGTTGAACCATAGTGGATGCTCTAAAAAGAAATCAAATGCTAATTAGAACATGCAATCACACATTTTTTATAAAGTAAAAAACAATGTGAAAACTTGAATTTATGATATTCAACTATCAAGACTATAATGTCCCTTTTTAAAAACAAGATTCACATGTATAGAGTGCTTTTTAGGGATTCCTACTATCATGATGGTTCTTTTAAAGATAAATTCAAACACAATTGGTTCAAATTTCATACAACAAATAGAAAAGGATAAGAATGAGTGCTTGCTTTACTTACCTATGGCTATGAGTCTATCTATGACTTTGAACCACACATTATATTTCATTATATCAAGTATCAATCCAATAGGATCTCAAGTGCTTGTCAATTCCTAATGACACCAATTCAATCTCCTCCATAACCACTTTATTTCCTGCAACAAATTCACACACCACACCCTCCACTTCAATCAAACTACACCCAACCTCCTTTTTCACCTTCTCATCTTCCATCTTCTTCCTTAGACTTTCCACATACCCCCATTCATCAACAGATGCATAAATATTCGAAAGAAGAACATGAACTCCACTAAAATCAAGACCCCTTTCCACCAAACTCTCCACCATTTCCTTACCCAATTCCACATTCCCATGAACCCTACATGCATTCAGTAATGCACCCAACACATAAGAATCAGGCTCCGTGGGCATTTTCGTCACAACATTTTTAGCCTCTTCTAGCATCCCAGCTCCACCAAGAAGATCAACCAAACACCCGTAATGCTTCACACTTGGCTCAATCCCATAAACTTCACTCATCATTTCAAAAACTCTTAAACCTTCTTTCACTAATCCCATACGACTACATGCATTTAGAACACATATGAATGTGATCTCATTTGGTTTAACCCCTTCTGTGTTCATCCTTGTGAGCAACGCTATTGCTTTTTTGCTTTCTCCATTGTTAGCTAGACCAGAAATCAATGAAGTAAAAGCAAACACATCTCTATATGGCATGTTTTCGAATACAATATAAGCTAATTCAATGCAACCACATTTAGCGTACATGTCTATAAGGGATGTACCCAAGATTACATCCAAATTCATTTTCTTTTTGTTAACATATGTATGAATCCATCTACCTTGATCTAATGCACCAAGAAAACCACATGCAGAGAGTACAAGCACGATGCTTGAGCGATTAGGGTGGAACCCAGAATGCAACATGTCATTGAATAGATCAAGAGCTTCTTTAAATAACCCAACTTGAACATACCCATTGATCATGACGCTCCAAGACACGTTATTCTTCATAGGCATTTCATCGAACAGTTGTCTTGCAACTTCTGTTTGGCCTGATTTGGCATACCCATTGATCACTGCAGTCCATGTGATAATATCCCTATCCGAGCTACTATCGAACAGTCTACGACAATAGTCTAAATGATTACAAACAGCGTATAAATGAATCAACCCGTTTTGAACAAAATCGTAACTTTCCCACCCTAATTTAATTGCTTGGCCATGACAGACCAATCCTAATTGAAGTTCAGAAAGATCAGCACAAGCTCTAAGAACGAAAGAAAATGTGTGATTAGTGGGTGAAAAACCGCAACCAAACATACGCTTAAACAACGATATGGCATTTTCAGATTTACCCTGCTCGGTAAATGCTCTGATCATGGTGTTCCATATGTAAGTGGATCGATGAGGTACTGATTGAAATACGGTGTATGCATGTTGGAGATCGGCGTGGGTCGATGTTATGCATGAGAACAAAAGTTTTCCGGCGGCGAATGGGTCGGAGATGGAACCTGAGTAGATGAGGTGGGCGTGAATTTGGTTTATGTAGGAGCTTGTAAGACATGGTTGGTCTAGGAGGGAGAGTGCTTTTCGACTTGATTTCAAATATTTAGAGGCAATGTTAGATCCCCCCATAACATCTTCGCACTTGCAGTCTTCTCTCTAGTCTTGTTAGATTGTTGAGATCCTAACACTTCCTGTAGCAATTTGCCAACTTTAGTTTTGGGTCGACTCTATCTTTGAAAAGTATTTGAGAAGATGATCCTGATATGGTAAAATACATGACGAGAAAAATACAAATCTACATATGTAAATATAGACAAAATTAAAGTTTTGGTCCCTATGTTTGCTAGAAATGGAATGGTGATGACAACTATAGAAAACTCTATGTGATTATCTTTGTGGTATCACTTTGATGAAAGGATGTTTTTTTTATCTATTTAAAAATATCTTTTTAATCTATGTAAAAAGACTTTTTTTTTATATGTTTTAATTCATTTTATCTTTTTTTTTTTTATTTAATTATAGTTTTGTCATTGTGTTTGGTGATGACAATTATGAAAATCTCTATGCGTTTATTTTTGTGGTTTCAGTTAATTGAAAGGTTGGTTTTTTACCCATATAAAAATGTTTCTTTTTATCTGTTTTAATTCATTTCATATTTTTATTACATTTAAAATGAATATTTAATTAGAATGTCCAACACCACCTCCACCCTCGCTTCTTTTCATCATCATTCACCATGCTTCATCACCACCGTCAACCACCATACTACCGTCTAGTTCTTCTTTAAATCTCTCTCTCCCTCTCTTTTAAAAAAAGTTTGATCTTCAACAAACACATGCACACATAATCAAGAACACACACTCATAAACATACCTACACGCACACACAATCAAGAACACACATACTTAAGAACACATACACTCATAACTACACATGCATACACTAAAGAATCTAAATGTTTTCATTTTTGGGGTCTGAATCTAAAATCAATTTCAGATTTCCAATCTGAATATGAAATTTGATTTAAGATTTTGAATTTATGTGTGCTCCTAAAAGGTTATGAAGAGAGAAATAGAAGGTGAAGGCGATGGTGCCAGATCTGTGAGGTTCAAAGATGTAGGCATTTTGGAGATTTAAGGTGGTGATGGGAATCACTCTCGATCCGAAAATGGTGCTTTAGAAAGTCGGTGCCTATAAAGCTAGGCTACTTGGGTTCCGACAGCAGATGAAAGCGACAATGGAGGTGGAAAGTGATCAGCATTATGGAGGAGGCACAGTATATTTGATATTCTCTATGGTGGAAATGGAAAAAGGGTGTTGTGGTAGCTAGAAGGAGGTCGTCGTTGTAGTGGTTGAAGGCGGCGTCGACGCTGGCACTATAGAGGTTGAAGGTGGTGGCTATGTATGGTGGTTCTTTACGAAGAAAGATGATGAATTGCGTATTATTAGGGGCGAGCACAACCAAAATCGAACACTGAATCCAACCCCAAACCATCAGTTTTGGGTTTAGATTTTTAAAAATTGAAAATTTCAATTTGGATTCTGTTTGTACTTTTAGAACCGACCCAATTTGTAAAATCGAATCAAAAACCGACCCAATATGTGTATATTTTAAAGGGTAAAATACATATGTTTTATTTTTATGCCACTTACTTTCATCGCATTTAAAGAATAATAACCATAAAAGAAGATTTTAGCGAGCTAAAAAAAATACAAAGAAACGACTCTATTTGTAACTTTTTTTTATTCTTTGCTAGAAAAATAGTAAACACAAACTATGTCTAAGAACTGGACAAAAATTCAATTCTTTTGTAACAATTTCAAAGGCATGCTATACAATTCAATACCCCCAACCTGCTTCTAAACAACAAAAAATGATTCAAATCCAACATTCACAATTACAATTATCAGCACTGAGCAAGCACCGAGTGTAGGTATGTCCTTTTATTATTTTTGTTAAATAAAAACTTTAACTTTGGAGAAATTGGTCCTAAGTAGGGTGTACGTCACTAAATCCATGCGAGGGTTTTATGCCCTACGCAGGGCGTAGGTGTGCAGGGTTCAAAGCTTAATTGGGGGGTTGTGAGCCCTATTTAAGGGCCTTAACTCCTTGAGACCCTCTTCATACTCAGCCTCCACCCCTCCATTCATTCACCTCGAAACCTTGTCCCCTTAGTGTGAGCGTTGAAGCATTTTAGTGATTCTTTGTGTGTTTTGTGAAGAATGAGGCCATTGAAGGTGTACTTGGGAGTCCATAGCTTATAGATCCAGACTTTATTCTTCTTCAACATTCTCCAGGAGTTATAAAGCTTGAACATTGATGATTCCTTTGTTAGATCTAGTTAGCTTGTGGGGTTTTTATGTGCTTTTGTCCCCTAACCATGGTCTTAGTGAGTAGAAGTTACTCCAGACCTTATGAGTGTCTTTTCCTATCATTTCTGATCTTGTAGAGGGATAAAAATGCGAGCTTGGTCACTCCCATCCTTTTGTGCATGAGTTCTTAAGCATTGAAGTGTCTTATGAACCTAGGGTTTCGTATTGTGCCCTTTTAAGCCATGCAAAGGCATAAAGTCATAGAATTTATCACTTAGGATGTTCTTTAAGACCGGATATGGGTATTGGACGTTTAGTCTTTAAGTATTAAGAGTTTATTATGAAGTTGGCAAAACAGAGTAGTACAATGGGCGTAATTTTGCCTGATTTTTCCCTGTTTCCATCCTAAGGCTTTATACAGGACAAAATGGGTTTTAGTTCAAGTAGGGTAGATTTTATCTATGGAAGGGTAAAATGGTCTTTTACCCAAGTAAGACAACTATGAAACAAGACCCTGAGGAGGATTAGCATCTAAATTCTGATTAAGATTTTATTGTGAATTTGGTTAGTGTGAGGAGTTCCAGCATTGACAGTTCGGGTATGCGTATTGTCTATCTTCAGATTGAAGTGAGTCTTCTCACTATACTCAAGGGTCGAAGGCACCAATGTCGGCCCACTGGATTGTGCTAGTTGTCTTTCTAACTCTTGCATGTTTATGTTGGGTTGGGCCTATTTGTATGATAGGTTGGGCCGATTATTATTTATGTTGGTCTGGGCCCATTATTATTTATATTGGTCTGGGCCCATTATTATTTATGTTGGGTTGGGTCTATTTGTATGCTAGGATGGGCCTGTTATTATTTATGTTGAGTTGGGCCCATTCGTATGTTGGGTTGGGCCTATTTATTGATGGGTTATGAGCACTACATCATTCCTATGGTGTACATGCAAACCCTGAAGCTTTGGATCTAGTTTGTCTAATGAACATGCAATAATCATCCAAAGCCATAAACCCTAGATCTAGTATGTGATAATCAATATTAACACAAGAATAGGGTTTAGATCATACCTTGATTGTTATGTAGTAATAACAATCTATTCCTTCTAGTAATTGGCTTCTAAAAGCTTAGAGTCACAAATGTCACTCCTCTAATGGCTCACAAACACCAAGAGCAAGAGGATGAAGAAGGAGAAGAGGAGGAGAACTTCAAAAACGTTCAGAAACCCTCTTGAAAAGGTTAGCCACGTTTTTGGGTCTCAAGGGGCCTTTATATAGGTAGGCAATTAGGGTTATCTAACAAGGAAACCCTAATTTGACTGCTTAAGCCCTAAGCAGCCCAAGGACCCCTTATGGAACATGCCTTGGACGAAAATCATATGGGCTTCCCATAGATTTCGTCCAACCTATATTCCAAGGTGATCCATAGCCCAATTGCAATTATCTTATAACTACAATTCCAGTCCCCTAATTTTAATTAATCTCTTTTAGCCACAAAATTAATTCTTAAATAATTATTGACTAATATTAATTAAACAATATGATTTCTCTTTTAATATATTATTCTCATAATATATTAATAAATCATAATTAATCCTCTCTCTCCATAATTCATCCTATCAAGTTGTTTTGGTGAAGGCAACCCAAAAGGACCATGCACCATCGGGTCAAGTACATACCAAAATAGTTATGGACTTAGACACTAATCCAACATTTATATGCTATGTGGTATTTTGGGAAACTCACTAAGCTTTGTGCTTACGGTTTTGTGGTTTAACATTTTCAGGTACTTCCAGTTTGAAAGGTAAGGGCCCAACGTGATCGTACAACATCCCCTTGATTTTATTCCGCATTGACATTTGATTTTACTCTGATGTTGAGAATATTTATACTATGGTCGATTTGAGACAAATTGGTTGTATTTTAGGGTGTTTCAAAAATGAAGATTTTACCACAGATTTTTTGGGATGTTACTATGACATCCTCATTTTTACGGTCAGAAAAGACCGATTTCGTTTATGCTTTTTAATAAAATCAAAGTAACTTTTTAAAGAAAAGTGTTGCGAAATTTGTTCCAAAACAAAATATGACAAAACTTTTATTAAAGCATTTCTTAAAGAAATGTATTTTCATTACATTACAAAAATTCGGGATGTCATCGTCAATACAGATCAAAAGCATAAACAAACATCATAGGCCACAAAACAAAATTGGCCTCAAAATAATATAGGCTTTACAACATTCCATTTATTTTCTACTGGCCTATAAATCCATAATCTCTCGTCAGATCATCCAACTATGCTTTTGCCAATACCTGTAATACAAGAAACTGAGTGGGTCATGCTGGGGAGCCTGGTGAGCATATAAGATTTTCAACCCACAATAAATAAGTTTATTATTTTCAACAATCATTAAACCCGATTACCTGTTTGTTGGATTAGGTGTATAAGCCCAGAACTATTATTGGTATGTACTCGACCCGAGAATAGCATGGTCCATTTGTGTCACACCCCCGAACCAGACGGCGGAAACGTCTGGGGGCTTGTGCGTGACTTCATCTTGTAATATCATCACAATGTAAATAATTGAAACAAGACAACACCATCATCATACATATCAATTACAACCAGCATTGTTTACGTCAAGTATAGCATAGTATCAAAAGTTACATGCCAAAATATTTTAATGTATGATGATAACAAAATATAACGAATTCCACATTTCCTGCTGACCTTTCCGCTTACTGATTCCCTGAAAATACAAGTTATTTTGAAAACGGTCAACATATATAATGTTGGTGAGTTCATAAGTGTATTTG